ACTCGTCCCCTCCGAGAACTTCCAGCCGTAGGAAGTGCCTCTGGCGAGGACAACCAACGAAACCCTCTTCCCATCGGCCTTCAACGCCTGCACAGGCAGCACAAAAGTGTTGTCCCCCAGCCGAATTCCTGCGCCGCCGCCACCGAGAAACTCTTTGAAAGGTGTCGGGCTTTCAAGATCAGAAGGGATAGGAGAGGTGCTTTGTGAGTGCCACTCAAACCCCTCACTCTCATCGTCATCACTCGAAATACGTCCGCTCGCCTCTCTGGGCCTCCAATAGCCAGCCGCCGCCGCCGCCGCAGTCAAGGGGGCCCCGGTCTCGCCGTAGCCGCCGAGGAGAAGGTACACTTCGCCGTTATCCACAAATGCCGTTGGGCGCAGCAGGCGGTAGACCTTCGCGTCGTAATGATCCACCACTACGGCGCTCCCCTCCGCCCACGTCGTTGCGTCGTCTTTCTTCCACCTTGCGGCAACACCGACGTACGGCTTTCTATCCGTGGCGTTTGTGTAATGCGCCTCGGCGAAGGCCACAACCACGCCATCCACGTAAACCAGAGAAGGCGCAGAGAACGACGCAAACTTCTGCTTATCACTGGGAGACGCCGGATCAGTCATTTCCGTCACCCCCGCGGTAAAGAGATCAACCCTGCTCAACGTGCCCCCCTCTTTCGCGTTGGCCTCAGCGCAACTGGTGCCGCAGATCAACAGCACGAGAAGGAGAAAACGCAGTGGCGCTGCGGCAGGAAACAGACGCCGGGGCATGTTGGGCCGTCGTCGCTCTCCCTCTCCGTGGCGGATCTGCCCAGACAACGACGGTTGTGTGTGTGTGCTGCTGCGGAGCCTTCAAAGCGCACAGCGGCAAGCAGCGTTTGGTCTCTCTTTTCCTCCTGCGTGTATGTGTAGGAGGAGAAGTAAAAAAAAAACAGAACCCAGAGGCGTGTCGGCACACCGGCAGAAGAGGGATTTAAGAACGGCGCCACCCCACACGGTGGTGGCAGCGGCGCTGGGGCCCACGGCAGCGGTGAGCATCGCCCAGGCCGCAAAAAGAAAAAAGAAGAGACGGAAAAGAGACGTGAGTAATCCCCGCAGGACCCCCAAAAGAAAAATATATAAAAAGAAATTACTTCGGCAGGTGGTGTTCCTTCACCTCACGTGTCCAGCAGCACAAGAGGACCGTGAGATATGCATGTGTATTTTACTACCTGCACGAATAAAAAAAGAAACCACTGCCCCGGTCGCACACACATAACCACACACGCATCACGTTTGTGCCTCACGGTGGCGGCAGGCTCGTGCCTCATTTGGGCGATCCGTGCGACGCACAGCCACGAGGCCGGCACCGCTTGTGTGTATGTGTGTGGGTGGTGGCAGCAGCAAAGAAGAAGGGGAAACAAGCCACTCTCAGCAGAGAGTATAGCAAGCGAGCATTGGAAAACAAGAAAAAGAGAGCAGGGCTGCTGGCTATTCCAGCAAAGCACCAGCAGCAAACAAAAGTAAATATGTTTTTTAAGTGAAGGATAAAAACGGGGAAAAAATGCGGTCCTCGAGGAAATGCAATAAGTAGTGCTCGGCAACCGCAGTATTATTATCACTGAGGCGCCGTAAATCAAATCTCCCTCTTGCATTCAGCAGAGAGCCGTCGTGCCCCACAGCCCCAGCAAGGCAAGCAGCAATAGCCGAGTCACGCACCCACGCACAGCGCCGTCGCTCTCCGTGTTCATCGGGTACGGCCCTGTGGCGTTCTTGAAGGCAGCGGAGCTGTTGCTTAAGTGCGGTGTAGCGTCGCGTGTGGGCGAGCTGCCTGGCTGCCCAGGCGCCTGAGCCGTGCGTGCCGTGGCGGCGTTGCTGGGTGCCTCGTGGCCTCCGTCCGCGTCCGCCGCAGTTTGGGGGTCTGCGCCATTTTCTTTGGCGGCAGCGTTTGGCGTCTCGCCGGTGGGCGCGGCGGAAGCAGACGGCACGCCGCCAACGGCCTCTGGCGCGTGCGACGGAGCGCCCTGCAGCGCCTGGCCGTCATCCATAGGCCCACTCCGCAGAGGCGCGTCACCCACCGGGTCCGCCGTGACTGCACCGTCTGCGGGAGGCGAGGGCCCTCGTTGCTGCTCGGAAGTTTCCGCACCGACAGCCCGCTCAGTTGCGCCTGTGCGAGGAGCACCGGCCGCAGCCGGCGCTGCTAACGGTGGGGGCGCCAATGCACCGCCACTGTCTTCGGTCACTTCCTCCAGTTCCTTCTTTTCTTTTTCATCCTCCGCCTTTTCTTCTTCCTCTGCGTCGGAGTTGGGCGTGACGTTAGAAGGTGTTGACGCCTCGCCTGCTTCTCGGTCTGCTCCCTGCGATAACTGAGGTCGCGGATCTCCTTCTTCTTGGTGTTCCTCTGGGGGGCCCTGAGGCGTCGAAACGGCGTCGTCGTTTTCGCCGCCGGCGGGGTCCTTTTCGGGCAGTGAACTCTTCTCCCCCTTCTTGTCCCCCGGCGTCGTCTCGGGCGCAGCCACTTCACCACCGCTAGTCGGCGGCGGAACCTCCGGCTTTGCCACCGGCCGCGAAAAATTGACTTTGCCGTCGCTGAGCTTCTGCACCGCAGCTTCACCCAGCAGGTCGTTGTACAGCAGGACGTTGGCCAGCGTCACATGTTGGCTGCTCGCCGCACCGCCCCCGGCATCGGCCCCAAAGCAGAAGTGCGAGATCCTGCTTGCGTCGAAAATAGAGCCATCGTGGGTTCCATGGTAAATCTTGCTCCCGTCAACGTACACATACCAGTCGTTTGTTTCCAGTTGCAGTGTCACTTGGGAGGTTTTGTTGGGTTCCCACTGCTCCAAAGACTCCTCAGACTCGCCGCCATGAGGTTTGGAGAGCCACTTCCGCTCATGGTTGTACGACAG